AAGATATTAAGGATGTCATGTTCATTGGTGAGCTCTGAGGTGATTCGAGAGGCCGATACGGGACTGGCAGGATCGTCCACAAATGTTGCACTCGTGGAGGGTTACATCTAGTGCGGGAGGGGCGGCGGCAGCGTCTTTCCGGCGTTGGCGCTTGTCTGCCTCGGTATGCAATCGGGCTAACTCGAAAGTATTGACACCTTGTGTGGTGCTCCCCCAAGCGTTACAGTGTGGAATAATCGTCTCCCAGGTGATGGGGTCGATTTGGCACTTTTTCATGTTTATCTTAAGACTATCCTTATACCTTTTCAGTTGCCCGCCAGCGTTACGTTTACTATTCGTTAGGTGACTGTAAAGTAGCTACTTTGGCAGTCTACTGTCGTCCATGCGGGTAACATGGCCAGTCCAGCGTAGTTGTTCATGGATAATAGTAGCCTCGATGCTTCTTCAGTTGGTGTCAGCAAGAAAACTGGCATTTGTTCTCTTGTCTAACCAGAGAACTCGGAGGATGAACGTAGACTACGTTGGTGAAAGTTTTCAAGTGTCTTGAGGTGCCTCCTTTGTGTGATCCATGTCTCGCTGCCATATAGCAGGGTGGGGAGGAACCATTGCTACACACACACACACACACTCACACACACACACACACACACCATTTCCCAACAATATGCCAAGCACTCTCCTGGCTTGACATAACCAATCTCCTTGCTTACCTACCAGCTCTCTTTCCCACTAACTTAGTGGAAGAATTTGAAGTAACAAAACGTCTGGACAAACTGAAGTTAAAGCGCTCCACCACCCTCATTGACGTACCAATGAAACTCTACAAGGAGTTCTCCCCGGAATTAGCTAAACCCCTCTGCTCCATCATCAATGCTTCCCTCAGATCAAGCAAGATGCCCAGCTGACTGGAAGACCTCATATATGTCACCAGTGCCCAAGTCAATGAGCCCACACGCCTTAAATGAGTTACGACCCATTGTCATCACCCCAATACCCAGCTTAATCTGTGAAAGTTTTGTGTTTGACTGTGCCTATGCTGATATTGCAGGCACCATAGATCCTCAACAATTTGGTAATATGAAAACTTCCTCCACCACTCACTGTCTTGTCAGCTTTCTCGACTATGTATACGCCATCTGGAAAACGAAAGACTTCCGTTGCTGTCGCCTTCATTGTCTTCACCAAAGCATTTGACCTAGTCGACCACAATTTAATTATCAACAAAGCAATCGACCTCAGGTTTTGGAGAAGTCTTATACATGGCTTACAGACTTCTTAAGTGACCGACGCCAAGCCATATGCTTTCGAGGAGCTGTCTCTAGTTTTCAGTCACTCAACTGTGGCTTCCCCAGAGGCACTAAGATAGGACTGCTCTGCTTCCTTATGCTTATCAATGATGCCCTAAGCATAACCCCTGCTTGCTAGAAATATGTCAACGACTCCACCATTGGGATCAGTGTGAACAACTCGGCTCCCGACTACAGGGCCCTCCGGAATATATTGAACAGTCTCCAAAATTTGGCCACCAACAACCATGGCACCATCAACCATACCTCTCCTCCGACGTTGACCCACCCCCTTCCATTACTTTAGGCCCCAACACACTCCAAGTTGTGGACTCCACTAAGCTCCTCGGTGTCACTATAGATAACAAACTAAATTGGAAAACACACGTCAGTGCAATTGTCAAAACCTCCAGTTATCGTCTCCACCTCCTCTGTCTACTCAAATACCTCGGAGTTCCTGCGTACGAGCTCCTCGGTGCTTACTCAGCATTCACACTTCCCAAGCTCGCCTATGCCTCCCCTGCCTGGTTCTCCTCCCTAAATGCCACAAAACTGAAAGGCTTAGAAAAAATGCAGAAGAAAGCATGCAAGATTATTCTCTCCTCCCCCTGCTCCACATATCAAGAAGCCCTCAACACACTGACCCTCTCGGCCCTCTCTGATCATCACCGTTACCTCATCTGCAAATTTGGTGGGAAGCTTCTGCACCATCCTCGACACCAGCTTCTACTACCACCCGAGGTCCCTCGTCCACGAATTGCCCTTCGACACCACAACCGCATCCAGCCCATGCGAGCACGTACTGATCTCTATAAGAACAGCCCAGTCCCAACCATTATAAAAATTATATTATAACAACTTGAAATGCCCTGTAGTATGACCTCCCCACCTTGACATTATATATCATATTTGTATCACATATCTTACTTGTATATTATTTGTCAATCGAGTGACCCATTCCCCAATTATGTAACTGTACATTTTCATCCTTCTGGATGCCATGCTCTTTCAACAAACCTTGAATTATTACTATTATTATTATTATTATTATTATTATTATTATTATTATTATTATTATTATTATTATTACACACGCACACACATTAACTAACTAATGCACACACACACACACACACACATGTATTCATTATTTATTTATGTTTAGTTTATTTATTTATATTAGAAGGAGGAGGGGGGATGGGAGAGAAAGGGAGCGAGGGAGGAACTGGAGCCAGACTGGGGAGAGTGTTGGCCCTGCTACCATGGTTTCGTCACACCTCTCATACTCCTTCAAACCCTCTCCAGTAACCTCTTCCAACCTCCTCCTCTCTACGCGATCTTGGTGTGTAAGGGCATTTATATCCTCCCCCCATTTTGCCTCTTCACCTCTGCGTCTACTAACTGTTATATGTGTTGTTGTTCTCTGGGCTGTGAGCTATGGTCTGGCAAACAATTATGACATTGGCTCTCCCTTTTCCTGATCCAATGGTGCAAGTTTTGCAACGGCTGGGGAGAGGGGAGAGGGGAGAGTTGCAATGGACTGCCAATAGCCCAGTTTGTTGGGTTTCGCCTTAGTAGCTTGTCCATCATGCATTGCCTTCGTCCGCCGGTGTAATCATTAGGTTCCCATGTTGGTCACCTCTTCTGCTTATACCACCGTTCGGGTCTTACTGGAGCTCTGTAAGCATGTCTGCCTGATGCTGGGCTCCACTGCAGAGTTTTCGTCCGGGGTTTACTCCCGGAGCCTTATACCTACCAAGGTTAATCTGCAAGGCAGTGGGGCAGTGGTAGATAGGCACCAGGACGTGTCCATATGCCAGTGGCCCTATGCGCCATCCCTGTGGGGCCCACTGCTGCTTCGAGATTCCCTGCTGGTCTCGCCTGGACCCACGAGGCACCCAGTTACCACGAGGACGCACAGCAGAAGTCTTGATGGTGAGGAGGCTGTGTACTGGCAGGGGAGGACTTAAGCAAGTTGTTTCCCTGTTCGCCATGAGGGCTAGCCAGCGGCGGTAGCTGATAGCGAGAGGAAGCAAGCAATGCCTGCACCCTAACACTAACATAATGCTGCCACACTAGACGCAATACACCACCCTGTGTAGGATGGTGGTGGCGGCTGGGTGTAGAGTGGTGATGGTGGTGGCTGGGTGTAGGGTTGTGGTGGTGGCTGGGTGTAGGGTTGTGGTGGTGGCTGGGTGTAGGGTTGTGGTGGTGGCTGGTTCTGGGGTAGTGTTGACCGGGTTTAGAGTGGTGATGGTGGTGACTGGTTGTAAGGTGGTTGTGGTGGTGGCTTGGTGTAGGGTTGTGGTGGTGGCTGGTTGTAGGGTGGTGGTGGTGATGGTGCTGGGTGTAGGGTGGTGGTGGCTGGTTGTAGGGTGGTGGTTGTGGTGGTGGCTGGGTGTAGAGTGGTGATGGTAGCTTGTGTAGGGTGGTTGTGATGGTGACTTGTGTAGGATGGTGGTGGTGGCTTGTGAGGGTGGTGGTGGTGTTGGCTTGGTGTAGGGTTGTGGTGGTGGCTGGGTGTAGAGGGTGATGGTGGCTGTGTAGGGTGGTTGTGATGGTGACTTGTGTAGGGTGGTGGTGGCTTGTGTGGGGTTGTGGTGGTGGCTGGGTGGGGTGATGGTGGTGATGGTGGCTGGGTGTAGGGTTGTGGTGGTGGTGTAGGGTGTGGTGGTGGTGGTGGCTTATGTAGGGTGGTGGTGATGGCTTGTGTAGGGTGGTGGTGATGGTGGCTTGTGTAGGGTGGTGGTGGTCGTGGCTGGTTGTGGGGTGGTGGGTGGTGTAAGGTGGCTGTGTGGTGGTGGTGGTGTGTGTGGCTGGTGGTGGTGGTAGGGTGGTGGTGGCTTGTGTAGGTGGTGGTGGTGGTGTGTGGTGTAGGGGTGGTGGTGGCTTGTGGGGTGGTGGTGGTGGTGGGGTGGTGGTGGTGGTGGTGGGTGGTGGTGGTGTAGGGTGGTGGTTGTGTAGGGTGGTGGTGATGGTGCTTGTGTAGGGTGTGTGGTGGTGGCTGGTTGTAAGGTGTGGTGATGGTGGTGGCGTAGTGGCGGTGGTGGCTTGTGTAGGGTGGTGGTGGCTGTGTGGGTGGTGGTGATGGTGGCTTGTGTAGGGTTGTGGTGGTGGCTGGTTGTAAGGTGGTGATGGTGGTGGCTTGTGTAGGGTGGTGGTGGTGGCTTTTGTAGGGTGGTGGTGGTTTGTGTAGGGTGGTTTGGGTACTTTGTAAACTACTGTATACTGCCTACTGCTTCCACTTTATTGTATTGTAACTATAAATGCATTTTTTATCCATATAGTGTAGGGTGTACTGGTGAAACGTGTAGACTCTTTCAAAATTATACATAGACTATTGATGGCGTAAAAGTTGTCAGTAACAAGTGTTAGGTACCTACGAGGTGGTTGCCTTGAATAAGCAGCGAACAGATTTTATACTCGTGGAAGGGATGCCGGATTAGCAGTGTATGGGGCCAAGCGGCAGGATTGTGTGTCAGAGTAGGATTACTCAGTAATTCTCTTCTATTATAGATTGCAAGTGGGTGCTTCATATTGTGACGACATTAGTGGCTGTGTGGCAACCACTGTCACGCTGCCCACTGTTTACCTGAACAGGCAAGAGACTGACGTAGACTCAGGCCTTCAGCCCCCGCTCCCCCCAATCCCCCCCACACGATCGCTCGGTCCGTCCCGGCGGGGGCCCCGCCTATACTACTAAGCGCCTCGCTCACAGAGCTTCAGTTGATGGAGAGCAGCTGAGCTGTGTACTCCTCGCAGACTCATCCCAGCAAACTTTGGCGACTGTGGCTGTACTTTGTCATAGTACGCCTCAATATTTAACAACTCAGGAGCTGTTCTGAAAATTACAACTTCTTGGAGGGTCGTGTCTGGAGGAAGTGTACTATCTAGTGTGCAAAATTAAAGATTTTCTTCGTGACAATTTGAGAAAATCACATTGTTGTTGTGTTAACAGTGGGCGTCAGCAAGTGTGAGAAGCGAGGTCTGGAGTGAAGCAGCATCACCTGGTTGACCACCCCACAGAAAGTTAGGTTTACAATAAATCCGGTTGGCCTAAATAGTGTAATCCCCTGTGTGTTCTGCCGCCCCAGGGTTCATTACGTCGGTGCAGTGAATACTAGACCACCATCCACTGGCCAGACTTGACTGTGTGGTCTTGTTCGCTATATGGCTACAAGATTTTGTGCAATAATATTTATTGTAAAAGACGATAAAACGCACCAGATACTGTTAAATAAATTTAATAAACTCACGCCCAATTATAGGACTAAAGAAAGATTTAGTTGACAACAAGTGTAAAAATATTCTTTTGTTGAACCGACCGTATTGCTGTGTAAACCTTGAGTGGTCATAGTGAAATACGTCCAGCTGCAGCAACGATGAAAGCGTCCATCCAGATGCCTCTTAGCCAAATGATGAAGGAACAGGAGGGAGTGGAGGTTCACACACACACCAAGACCAAGGAGCCCCACGACCTAGCAGTGTTGAGGCTACTACTGCTGCTACAGGTAATATGAGTCACTGAGCACCACCATCACACAGGGGTACTGGGAAGGAGGGGTAAAATCTTATAGAAATGGCTGAATTATCCATCCTTGGAGATGTATTATAGCAGCATTTATCGTGTAATAACAAAAACAAGAATGATCAAGTATTGGTAATACGGTTCTTGACGCTGATAGTTAAAAATTATCACGAATCTGTCTGTCTTGGGGGTTATCATTTATGTAGCTATGGTACAATTTACCAATTTAGAATAAATAATTGGCTAAAATGAGACAATAGTTTTAATCTAGGGAGAGTATACGGTGCTACTATGGCGTGCGGTCTACAAAGATTTTTAGTCTAACCTGACCTAACCTAACTTAAGCTAACTTAACCTAAATATCTTGGAGACCGCACGTTATAGTAGCCGAGTATACCTAGTCCAAACTGAGGACGGTGTACACTAATGTTTGTTCATGTTTTATATTTTGTTAATCTGTGTTTTTCTGGCGTGTAATAAGAAATACTTATTGTGATGATTGGTCATTGGTATTTACGTTTTTCACGCGAACAAAATTATTTGTATTGAATTTAACACTATACTTATTGCATGTAACACCACACCGTCCTCACACCTTACAAACTACACCTGCCTCCTTCCTCCTAAACGAGTTTACCAAAATAAAGGTTTAATGTTGTTTTCATCTTTCTGTAAACTTCGACGTGAAACTTCAAATTGCATACTTCAGAAGTGTCCTCAAACCTGAATTGAGGCTCTTTTCGTTTAGTTGGATTTCAAACTTCAGTCGACTGACCCCTCACACTTACCGCCCACAGTGTGTGCTGTGGGTTAGACTTCATATCCACATTAATCTTTGTAATAATCTACAACAGAAGCATCACTAAACTACTATGTTTTTTAGTACAACTTTTGTTATTTTGAATGTACTTGTAGTTAGTGGATTTGGAGTTAGAAGTGTAGGCTGTGGTCAATAAACTACATGACAACTTCAAACCTTGCTTTGATAACTGACCTTCTGATGTGGATGCTTTGGTTGACTTGTGCCCCTCCCCCCCCCCTCTCTCTCTCATCTTCTCTAACTTAAATGATCTAGGTGATTATTACTAGTAGGGAACACTTGTGTGGTGCAGCTGTACGAGACGTGGTGGAGAAAAATCTTTTAGTGGAAGTGTAGTGTGGGATGAGAAGGTAATGTGTCAACACTGTTCCTTAGTACGGCTACTGCGGAATGTGGAGACGGACTTATAAGGCAGGTAACTAACATTCTTATATATAATGGCGTAAAGTCATTATTCGTAAGATGTTTTAAACTGCAGTTTTTGTCTGACATCGAGTGTAATGTGATAGACTTGAAATCTTTGGCTCCTACGCAAGTGTAGGAAACTTCATAATTGAAACAAGTCGACAGGTTCCTAGGTTTGTCAGCAGAAAATATAAATGTTCTATTTCGAGAATATAATTTTAAATGCGAACCTGTCATTGGTACAGTATTTTAATTTAAAAGCCTCTGTGGGACAGTATCCACACACGCTGGTCCTTCAACCCAACTTTGTAGTGTCCAACCCCATGACCTGCATCACAATAACTTAAATTAGCTCTTGGTCTTACAGAGAGCAAGGCTGCTTCTTCCCATTCGAATATAAGGTCATTCCGTAGAGGTGAACGTTTTAAAGATGTGAAAAACACTAAAGTGAAAATGAAGCTGATCACAAGATGCGTGCATGTCCCAAGCTTCCCATCAGGTTGAACTTTGCCTTGAGGAGCTGCGAACTCGTTTTCCTTGTTTTCTTAAGTATAGGCTTAGAGCCTCTGCACTTTCAACTTTGTTCATTAACTTCAGTCTGGTCTTGAATTTTCCTTACTATCGCATCCCGATATCCGTAGGCCAAGTTTCTTTGGACTCGGTTAATTAACTAACGAAAACTCTTACGGCATAATTGGGTTACAAAAATTAACGAAGGATTCAGGTAGATGTTATAGAATTCATTATAAGAACGACTAGGCTGCTGGCCAAGCCGCGTGTCTGGTCTTCCCTGGAACTAGGGTGGTGTCATTCACAAGACGTTATGTCTAGGTGGACACCGGATGTCATTGTAACCGTGAATAACCAATGTGTTACAGTGTTACCGAAAGGCCTCCCGGTGTATGTTGTAGCGTCTGCCCCAAGCCACAACATCAAGTTCCACACACACTCATCTCTCACTTCCTGCTGGCCTACCTGTTCATATTTCTACCTTGTTAAAATCACGTATCATAATGTGTTAGTGCATTTAAGAGACTGAAATGCTAATACGAGCAGTTTAGCCTTTGTGAACGAGTTGCCTTGGCGAGAAGTATGGTAGGTATTTGTGTACGGGAGGTTTGGTATGAATAACAACAACTCTGTTCTCGGTATATAATTATAATTCATATAAACCGTTTAGGGGTGTTCACATTATTGTATCACTTACAGCTTAGGGGTGAGTGGCGAGCATTACTGACTTACGAAAACGGACAAAACATTAGTTTGAATTTCTATGACGGGTAAGCCCTAACGTTACAGGGTCATCTGCTAGTCAGCTCGCTGCTTACATGCTTCACCCATATACTGTAATGCTCTGTACCACATACTGCTACTCGTATGCAACATTTTGTTATTTTTTTTTTACTAGATGTTTGCTAAATGTGAATGTGGTGTGTACGATGGTTGCTTAGGACCTACTATCGCTGCGCTGCATTGTTTCATCATTTCTGTTACCTTGCATTTTTGTTGCAGCCGCTCCCAACTCTCGCACGTAAAGTAATGCACTTTTCCATCGTTTGTAAAACTGCATTTCGAATTCTTATTTATATATATTTTGTCATTGGTGAATAACGAGAAACGTATGTTATATATAATATAGTGGCGATGGGAGGGGTGTGGTGAGGTGTACCACGTAGACAGTAGTCGACTCCGTGTTTCATAAAAGTAGGTTCATTCATTGAACTGTGGCTTGTTTATTATTGGCATGTCCACCCGGCGGGAGTGTGGTGACGTCACGTCCGCTGATACAGCTGGGTTGAACGTGACTCTGGGCCTGAGTAGTCTGAGGGTTACTACACCTTGGGCACTAACGCTCACTGCTTCACCTCACACGGTCACAAATTATAAAATCAATGATTAATTTAATATGGGAATATGTTATCACTAGATATTAGACAGCGGCGTATTCGTACGTAGAGTTGTTTTCATGTTGACGTGATAAAATATTTTTTTTCGGATGCTGCGTTAACACTTCTTATTCTCTTCTTTGTTGGCCAAGAAGTTGTTTGTTGCAAAACTGCAAAATAAATTATGTGAACTACGAAACTATTTCCTTGGAAATTATTTAAAAAAAATATACAAGAATAAACTAAAACAATATGTACTCGGTGTTGCTGGTTCTGTGCATCAAATGTAATTCTCCTGTTTATTAATGAAAAATAGTTGCGCTGGCTGACAATATTAATTAACGTCAACATATAGTGGGGATGATGTGTGAGAACCTGGTGACAACCTTAGGTGTGGACCACAGCCGACTATCGCGTTAATCTACTGTATACTTGAGCTACGTGTAAGTCATTGTTAGTATTAGGTAAAGGGTACGACAGTGTCAGCCTCTCAGTGGTGAAGGTGGTGAGCCAGCCACCTCGTTGACTCATCTCTTGTTCTACAGCGTAATGACACACCGGAAGGAACTGCCCACACCGGACTTTCCTCAGCCTTACACACCCAGCTTCCAGGAGAGTGAGTAAATGTCTGGGATGGGTGCTGCTGGCACTAAACTTGGAGTGTGGTATAATATGGGACAGGAGGCCATATAAAGGCTGCACACATTACAAGTGAGTGGTGCTGTAGCCAGACTACACGTGCTGGTCTCGTGGAGTCAACTACACCGCTTCCTGAACCCCGTTCATGTCCCTCCCTCCCTCCCTCCGTGGTGTGCGTCTTGCTCTCAGCTCGACTTGACTCACTGGCCACACGTTGAATAATTTGAGGGATGAGGTATAATATAATTAATGGTGTGCGTTGGGCAGTAATGTAGTATGGTGGCCTGCCTCACAGGTGGTATTAGGCCGATTCCTCTACATTCCACTGTGTACAGACATTAGCTCTGCTCCTCACCCAATTCTTACCGGCACAGTACCATTTGTTGCGCATATACGATATTTTTTTACGGGTTTGTGAAGACCTTATAATTTTATCCCCGCATTACCCGGTAGTGAATACCTCTATATTTCACTTTGCTTTAATATCAAGATTTCACAACCTACAACAATAAACACAAAAAGGAGAGCGTCGGGCGAGGTGCTGTGTCACAAATTTGATATATTAACTAATCCCAGACGTCTCCACAAATGATCAGGAGCTGCGTCAGCGCGGACTGTCAATCGATCTCAGATTGGTGTTTATAGAGCTGAATGATGTAGCACTTTGCCTGAGATTACTACTGCTGGGTTGTCTAAAGTTTACACGTGTGGTTAGTGTCAGCCGCACAGCGTTCCCCAAAAATCTGTGAGCATTACCAACATGTTACTTGTAGTGGGTGGTGATGACAAGGTATTGTGAGGTCTGTAGGGCGTTATAACAACAAAATACTAGGACGGGTGTGAGGTAAGAACATTAGGGTGGGTGTGTGTTAAGTGGTAACAACAACACTAGGATGGCTGTGTGGTAAGAACAGGATACTAAAGTGGGTGTATGGTATGTGGTAAGAGCAGGATACTAAAGTGGGTATATGGTGTGTGGTAATTACAGGACACGAGATAGCTGAGTAACCCCTGACATTTGATGGGTAGTGTTGGGGTTGGGGTAACAGAGGTCGGGGAGTCCCCGGGACAAGTACCGAGGACGTCGCGGTGCATCTCAATGTTGTGAGCCAAGCTTCCTGCAACACCATTACGCCCATACCCCAGTGATCCGCCTCCTCAAATTTATTCCGTGTGACCACCACTTTCTTCACTGTGTAATTCCTATATTAGATACAAGCGAGTGTGTGTGGATGAGAACGTTTTAGGTAGCGTGTTGAAGATGAAAGAGTGGTAGGACCGTAAACATAATCGTGCACAATATTTCCAGGCGCATCTTTATGAAACCAACCCATTGATAGGTAGAGATGTGATGCAGGTGAGAGAATTGCCTTCTTATATAGAGGTGAAGAATATGGCCCATGATTTTGTGCGGTTTCCCTAAATAATTGCACGATGAGCCTAGTACCAGACCAGGGTCACCGTGTTATCTCACTCGAACATCAAGTGTTGTTGATGCACCACTCAAGTCATAGCTTATCTCGTGTGCTTCATTTATTTGTGATATTAATAACAGTCCCTTTTTTATTATTATTATAAAAATTAAACTTTTAATGGGATTTATTTTCGGGAAAGTATTCGACGTATACATACGACAAATAGAGGACTGTGGTCTTCAATTAAACGATAAAAGCCTCGTATTGTATTGACGTAAGTGTATTTATCCATACACTGAATATTACTTGATACTATGCGCACGATATCAAATTAATGTACGTAAAATGCTTCCTGGGCAGTTGCTGAAACATAACTAAATAGTTTGTTATTTGTTTTTAACTAACGGGTACTTATATTATTTCAAGCTTTCTGTATTACGATGTCTTAAACTTTTCTATATATAGTTGTTATTTTCCAGTGGCTTAATACATGGTCTGTGCCTGGAGGACCCCCGTATATAAACATTTGGTCTAGTGACTTTAATTAAACAATATGGCTATCACCATTCAGAATTCCATACGATCTTTAATTATTGTATAAGTTAGGAAGCAGGCGAATGTTGGGGAATTTGTAATTCTGCTTACTTGTTGTAACCCACCCCCCCCCCCTTCTAAAAAATAATAATAAACAAATAATGTAGAAAATCTTTCGAGTAAACAAAAAAATAATACATATAAGTAGCAGATGGTTTTATTTAAAAGGCACTTCCTTAGTAAGTAAATAAACGAGCACGGTATGACGGGAAGCAAGTGTACCGGGCTGCTGCAGATGTTCTGGCATTGACGTCAAACGCAAGTTATCAGCTGGATGACGTCACACGCGCACCAGATTATCAGTTAAAACAATCAGCTGTAGATAGTACGAGAAAAAATACTGGGTTTACAAAACATCGTAGTTAGTTTACGAAAGAGAATACACTGTACTGGGATAAGCCATGATTGAATAGTTTATGATAGAAGAATATGCTGGGTTTACTGTACTCTTTAGTAATTGTAAATTTGCACTTTCACTGTTTCATTCATTGCAGATGATGTATTATCCATTTCATTTATTTAATGAAAGAAATAGTAATAGAGTATTTTTGTTTGTAGGTAGCCGGAGAGAGGAAGGCAGAGATCGAGGCGCTGCTCAGGGGAACTGCAGGTGCCAAGCCACAAAAACAACAGAAACAGCCTGAGGCAGAGCAACGGCCCCAGGAAACAGACAATCACCGCCTCAATCGACACTCCTTCACCAAACGATGGAGAAAGACTCACCTGAAGAAAAAGTCTATCGAGGAGGAGGAGTCCTCGATCAAGTCTTCCACTTCTAGCTCAACCACATCCTCTAACAACTCCTCTATCAAGTCAACAAGCAGTTGTCCCTCCAGTCAGGATGGACAGATCCACTGCTCTTCTGGTTCCTCTCCTTGTTCCAATGGCCACGTCAGCTGCGTTCTGGAGACTATTAATAATGTCGCCAATACAAAGGAAACCAGCTCATGTGATGTAGCTGACATGTCCTTGCTGCAGAGGCTTGCTTTGGTTAGTGAGTCATGCGGATTGTTATAGAGTAAGCAATGACTTACATAGTACAGTACTACAACTACAAAAGATTTTACTTGATTTTCATTTTGATATATAGAGTAAATATCATTAAAATGTGTTACAATACTAGGCACTTCTCTTAAGACATATAATTGGCCTTTTTTTTAACAATCTTTCCTTAATTACAGAATGCACTGAATTTAGCAGCACCAGCCTCTTCTGTACTGTTAAGGGATCGTCGGAACAGTTGGGTACAACTGGCAGGTCACCCTGGCTCTCTGGCACCTGCTGGTCCTGGCACCATCTGGAAGAAGAGAGGCCCTGATCCAGTTGAGACTCAGGCCTACCAGGCTCTTGCCACTGACCCTGCCAGGGACATCACTCCTACTTTCTTCAGAGAAATCATCTATCAAGAAGAATGTATCCTATTCGTATATTACTAGAAAATTCTGTATATATATATATATATATATATATATATATATATATATATATATATATATATATATATATATATATATATATATATATATATATATATATATATATATATATATATATATATATATATTAATGATCACAAGAGTTAAACACTTTTAAGAGGACAAGAAGTGCTTTATGAAGGTTATTTTCAAAGTACAGCGTACTGTATCTAATATCTAAAACATTAACATTTACTAGGTAGTAATGTGCTAATTAAGTCTGTTACCCATGGAAGCACCATGATGGGAAAAGTAAAGAAATGCTGCATAGTTTAATTTAGTCAATTGAAATACCACTTTCTGTATATTGTGTCCCTGCTTCCTTCTTCTTGAGGCAGTCCTTTTAATTTTCTTGTATTGTGTCAGTCAGTGGTAGTGTGACTGTTTTCCTTGTAACCAAACCTCCATGTGCAGTTGTTCAGGAAATTTTCTGAATAAATCTCGACCATCCTGACTGTCTATAACTCCAATTAATACCATCCCCGTGCACAGGGTAGAACATGAGCATCCCCATACATAGGGGAGAAATACAGTAACTATTCCTGTACATAGGGGAGAACATAGAGTAGTGCATATAGTGTGCTTGGATTGCTAAATCTCTTTATTTTAGTTTATATCTAGGGTGAATTACAAACTTCTATACTGTACATCAAAAGCATTTTCTCATTGAAAATAACATCTGTATATATTAGACATGTTTTTCCTTAACCATTATATTTAGACTTTATTGAAATGAGGGACTTGCTGTATGACTTTCACAACCCATGTGTAATGGACATCAAGATGGGTACTCGGACATTCCTCGAGTCTGAAGTTTCCAACAAAAAAGCTCGCAAGGATCTGTATGAGAAGGTAAGGCTTCTTTAAACCCAAGTTGTACAATTTCAATACAGTATAAAGATATTGAAATCATGAATACCTGTATGACATTTACCTACTAAGCAATGATTCCTCTAGGGAGCATATGACATTGTACTGTACTTGTAAGTACAGTACTGTACATTTTTTTCTTCTTCATTAACTGCTATTTTATTTATTACAGATGATCAAAGTAGATGTCACGGCTCCAAATTCAGAAGAATGTGAAGCGAAGGCTGTCACCAAGTTGCGGTACATGGATTTTCGTGATAATATGAGCTCTTCACGATCACTTGGATTTAGAATTGAAGCTCTTAAGGTATGTACATTACATACAATACACTAAGTTGTTTTTGCCAATCATTTATAGAAAAATTAATATTATGGCATTTTCATGTATTCACTATTAGCAGTTGTAATAGTTCATATTTTTACCCAACAGATGACAGGCAGTGAAGCTGTGACAGAATTACAAACAGTACGAAGTAGAGAAGAGGTAGTTGGCACCATGAGTGGCTTTCTGAAAGGTAGAGAGAATACTAAACGCCAGGTTCTGGAACGTCTAGCGCACCTGAGAGACACCTTTAGAGACTCTCCTTTCTTCCAGAGACATGAGGTGAGAGATGATTTTTTATAGCTTATTGTACAGTATTTTTTTATATGCATCCTAGTCTTATAATCAATTGATTTAAAACCCAATGTAAAATCAGATTCATTTCATAATGAACACTTAAAGCAAATTTACAGTTGAAGTACTGTACTGTATAAGATTTCAACTACAGTACTGTATATTCTACTGTTTGTTATAATCTCATTGTAAAATGATGAGATTACGAAATCATAATGTGACGAATATCCATCAGACAGTTCTCTGTTTGAAAGTAAATTCTTAAGAATTTAGTAAGAATGTTTTGAGGTGGGATGTCACTGAAGTAACAGTAACCTGGTATGGCTGTTTTTTTTTTTTAATACAGTACTTTAACTAGAACACTAAAACATGACGGGCTTGTTCAAATATACAAATCCTTATCCATGTTATTTACAATCAGGTGGTACTGTCTTTCATCTGTTAATGATTTGCAATAAATTTTAAATGTTGTCACATGATGAGATCTTTCACCTTCACATTAAATTGGTGTGTGGGGTTCCTCAGCCTCATCGTCATATTAAGTACCAGTTGCTTATTTCTTACTCCTTACAAAAACCCTTCATAGTATTTTTGTTATCAATATTTATAGGTACCAGTATCTCAGATTTCTATTTTAGATAAATATCCTTGCGATTATTATTGTTGTGTATACCCTGTACAGTAATTGCCGTCTCATCTTGCAATGATTTTCATAAACCATGTTCTATTTACAGGTGATTGGAAGCAGTATCTTGATCATTTATGATGATGAGAAGGCAGGTGTGTGGATGATCGATTTTGCCAAGACGGTGCCAATTCCTGAAGACATTACTATTACTCATCGCAAACCTTGGGAGCTCGGGAACCATGAAGAAGGATACCTTACTGGAATTGACAATCTCATAAAGGTAAGCAGTTCTAAAATGAAAATGAAACAATTTTGTTCATAAATGATACTGTATACGTCTGTATTTTTAATTAGTAATATTTAAAGACCAGCCCATCATTATCAGTAGCTGTACTTGTTCACTCTAGTGTTGTCTTTTTATTATTAGAAATTTAATTATTGTACAGTATTATTGTTTAATTACCAGAAAGGCCATTTTCTTTTATGTTTGTCTGCTACATAATTGTAATACTGCACATGTAATAACTTTTTGATTTATGTATTTGCTCTAGGTTGTGGAGGAAGTCCCAACGAAAACAAGAAGACTAGGTTTGTTTCACAAGTCCTGAGCAGGAGTACTGATGAAGACCATGTCTTCTCAACAAGTTGTTCGAAGTAAGCCAATAATTTCCATGCAAATTTATATTGCATAGGATAAACAGTCTTAAAAATGCCAAGGACAAGATGAGTCTGGGTTCTTGTGCTAAAAGTACTTTGCAGACATACTGATTGAGCTCTTATGTTTGTCGTGTTGTCAGAGTGCCTCATCACTTTGTAAATGGAATGCTTCTGTGAAGAAATTTCTTGCCTGACTTAAGTTGAGCATTCTGACTTTTATTTATAATATAAATTATCATTATTAATTTGTTATCCACTGTGCTGGGCAAATTTTGCAAAAAAATAAAAATTAAAGAAATTTAAAATATCAATACAGGTACTGTAGTGTGATTGCTGATTTGCCTTTCAATAATTTATCATGATTATGGACACAGTTTATTTATACATACTTTTTTTTTATGATCTTTGAATTCCGAGTCCAAAGCAGAATAAAATAAGACACAGTTGCTGTTGATGCACACTGTTTGTTATTCCATGCCAGTAACAACCAAGGTGAGGAGACCATTAAATTATCCTGGGCAGATTATGAGAATGTGACTTGTGGGCGCTGCTCATCCATACAACAGTATTGTATGTAACATGTTAGCCTTGACTTAATACCCAGCATCATCAAGCACATGATGTTAGTCGGTGTTATTTTGTTTCATGAGATTTTCCATGTTAGTAACCTACTTGGGGATACACCAAAGAGTTCCTTAGTAAGGTTTATATTATGAGTTTATTGTGCCTAATGAGTACGTATTGTGTTCAATAACTAAGTGGTTGGGATGTACTGTAGTAGTTGTTTATCATATTGGGACCACAACACATATTGAGATTTTTTTAATTATGCAGTATATGGGATGCAATTAGCCGAGAAGTTAGTTTGTAAAAAAAAATAATACTGGTCTAGTTAAGTGTATGTGCTTTCTTGTCAAGTTTTTCATGTCAGTTTCACTTTTAATATACTGTATATGAAAGTCAGTACAGTACTGTAATTCAATCCACAATTGTTTAAGAGGTTAACTTTAGTTTTACCAGAAAATTAATCCCAGATACCTAGATAAACTCTTAATATTGACAGAGGACAATCCAATGGTAAGGATGTTTTACCTTTTTGAAAACAGATATACCAGTAGCTTCCAATCTCTACCATTATTTTCAGTATTGTAATTATATAGTTAATGCTATAAATACTAAACTAACTCTTATTGGTCATTAATGATTAGGAAGGTCAGAATTACTCGCAGGTGTTTGTCAATGAAAATGCACACCTATTTCTGGTAATAGCTAGACTCTCGGCCTTTACCAAGATATACCCTGAATTGGGATGATGATAAGATATAGTTTGCGTACCTATTAATCCAAGAAGATAGTTACAGGTGATAGAAGCTGCGCCTGTAATGGAATTTGATTTAAGTACTGTAGCATAAGCACAGCCCACTTCTACCATATTCAATTACAGTACAAGTACATAATCTTTTTGTAAAAATTTACCTCCTAAAGTTATACAGATATTAATGAAGCTTACACTAGTTATTTCAAATTTTACAAATCTTGTGTAGTGTATGTTAGCATCAAGTACAGTATCTCTGTACAGTACTGTATATGAATTTTGTATCTGCATCAGTTTTGGTACTGCTTGTCCAGCTTACCATGAGAGAACAACTGATAAAAAGGAGTAATGTTTCATGGAAACAAATTATCATATCTTTTGTTCAGTCCTAAATTTATTTCCCATCAAGTCTAATAAGGACAAGCTTTTTTAAATGGTCTGACAGTGTTTACTTCATCAAATATTTTATAATTAAAAACATGAGACATCAGTACCATTCAAAGTACAGTACAGTAATACATGTACTGTACTATACTATATTACACTCTACACTTCATAACTACACTTACTTTTGGGCATTTACTTTAATATTTGGAATATCATAATGCTATTTATAGTACTAATGCCTGTTATATGGTAAAGGATGGCTACCTTTCTTTATAAAGATTACTTCTACTATTCCATACACAAGGCTGTGATGAGACTGCATTTTCATGTTTTAATTTAGATCAGTTTGTAAGTACAGTACAGTATTACTGCCAACACCTGTTCGATAATTTTATCTATATCCCAAATAAAACAATTGCAAAGGAAAACTTTTACCTCAAAAGGTGTTCAGCAGAAATTGTAGTTGTTAATAAGTGCAACATTAGCCTCCATCATTATTAAGCAAATATTGATGCAAATCATCAATGACCTAAATTGCAATGTAACTATTTTTAATTAGTTACCATATTTATATATATTACAGCCACTCCTCGACTTACGACCACCCGGACATACGACCGCCCCAGTCGTACCCAAAAATTTTCAAATTACTTATTTTTGAGTCCCAACATTAGTGATTGAGCTGTGTCCTGACAAAATTTTTGTTTGTAATTCCCTTTAACATGGCTGGCATGCTTAAAAGTGAGAGTTGTGTGGTGCTGAGAAGATAAAGAGACATCCATTTTAGATTTTCTATGTATTATCTTCGCAATTTTGACTCACGACTTGGATTTGGGTCCCTAACCCTGTCGTAAATCGAGGAGTGGCTGTATATATGATTGGTCATTGCATCTTGTGTACTAAAAGTTGGACATCAGAAAAAATATTAAATTGCTGTACATAACCAAGTACTGTCAGGGTTGTCAATCTCCAAAGCACTTGCAATTTACTATTTGCAGACCAAAGCTTGTGTTATGCTGCATTTTTCCTTTTATAATTTATAATCTCTTATGATTTACTTTGATGGCTTCAACTACATAAACTGTAAACATGTCTAATACAGTAAGAAAAATTGCATAAATAGTGTACCATTTATATGAAAGGTTTCATGTGTGATGATGGTTCTTTACTCTTGCATCAGTATTATTTAAGGCTCCATATACTCTTAATGATTGTTAAGTATGTGTTGTTCTGGTCAGTACCAACAGGTATATATTAATATAATGAAAAAAAATGGAACCGTTCCATTTTCTTGTGCAAATTTGCAAGGAACTGTAAAGAGTATGCTGGTAACATGATTTATCTGTCATAACCATGAAGGAATCCTTACACATAATATCTCCTCTGGTAGTACAAAGTTGTATGTGAAATATCCAGGGACAAACATGTAATGTATTATTGTATTGAATGTATATAATGTATAGTCACTAAATATTTTATATACTTTTGAAGGCACTGTACAGGTTTATATTGTATACATGAAAATAATTGTTGCATCTGCCATATTTTGTATCAAGTTCTAACTGAATATATATATACAATACAGTATATTGTATAAACAATATACAGTATGTATATAATTATGACAATTTAGAATACCTGTACCTGTACCAATATTTGATTTGATTTATTGTTTGTAATCTAGTCCAAATGTTTATTTGTAGAAATAAATATAATTTGTTGAATTAAGTTTCAGTATCACATGATATGGATACCAAGTATCAATCTAAGAATATGGTTGTATCAATCTAAGAATATGGTTGGAAACAAAATAACAAATAAATTACATTAGGCAAGCTATACAGTACAGTACTTCTCTTTATCAATAAACCACCTTCCTTTTCTAATACATGTTCTGTCTCCCAGATATATCTACTTTAATAGAAGTTTATAAGTACGTACTTCAAGGGTATTTGTCAAACTTGAGTAACATTACATTCTATGTATTCATGGAAAACAACCCTTTTGAAACAAAGAATTTACCAGAAAACAAAGAAATGAGGAGAAGAAACAGTATGAGTAAGCTGTTCCTGGGAGGAAGAGACCAAAAATCTAATGAAAGTGAAGACATGGAAGAAAATATGAGAAGGAAGAATGGAAGCAGTAATTAAGAAGTGGATAAAATCAATATTAAACAGTATGTAGATAACTTTATTTATCACTTAAATAATATCTTGTACATAGAAAGACAGACTGATAGTGTTTAGGCTGTTGGGACAGGATTCAGTGTCTTTGGAATTATGCAGTAATGTACAGTAAAATATATGTATGGCAGCACAGTATACAGAATTGTGTATGTACTGAACTACTGATTAACATCCTTCATGCATATTGACAAGAGAAAAATATAAATTGTAACCCCCAAGACAATATTTGGCAGAGTACACTAAGTCCACATGACTCTGAATTGTTTAGCCCTGTGATCAAGGTTGATTACTGCTGAGCAGTTCCCTACCTAATAATAAGGTTGAATTAGTATACAGTATTTTGAACTCTCGGCTCCATGGTAGTTTCAAAAGTCAGCAAGGCTTCAAGTTCATAAGTATAAGCCTTACTTGAAAATTTCATTTGCATCTCGGAATCCTTAACAAGCATAATTGGGTATTCCTTGCTTTGACTCTTGGAATTTTCTTGCCAATAGGGGGCCCATACCAAGGGAGGAGGGAAGGACATAAGGTCATTTGTCTCATACAGCCATGCATTCCCTCTCCTATAGAATTAATTTTTTTATTTTATTTTATTCCTCACCTTTAGTCTAAAAGTCATTACTGTATTAGTGACCTGTGATATTCCAAATCAGCAATAAATTGGATGAAATAGGTCATGTATAGGAAATTGGAACATACCAGTACTGCACTTCCTACTGGACCTCCTGTGTGAGATATATGCAACATACTGTAGTTTCTTACAGATTTTGATAGTGTAGCCGTGGTATTTTTTAGCTGCTATGGAGCAGGGTCTCGTATTTTTTATTTTACTTGTTACCATGAGATCTGCAGTCGCACCACTAATGTGTATTCATAAATCATTATTCCAAAATTCCTGACACGTGGCAGGTGTTCTCCAGGTGCTCCAGTCTCCCTTGTACTAACACTTGCTCCATGAAGATACCCGGTAGATATAGTGAGAGACGTGGCCATGTATGGAACAGTGAGTGGAAAATGGCTTATGCGAGTCCTATCTTCAAGAAGAGCGATCATCACTCCATGAACAACTATAGACCAGTGAGCCTGACCAGCATAGTATGTAAAGTATTTGAGAGCATTATAAGAGATGCCATGATGGAACATCTACTACGAAATAAACTTGTAAAGGATTGTCTACACAGTTTTATGCCGGGGCACTCCTGCTTAACACAATTACTCAAGTTACTGGATATTTGGACCCAAATTCCGGAACAGGGTGGTAATATCGACACTATATACATAGATTTTACCAAGGCTTTCGACAGTGTACCCCATGAAAGGCTGAAAATTAAACTGGAAGGATACGGGATTCAGGGAAATGTCCTAGCGTGGATAGGAGACTTTCTCCATGACCGCAAGCAGTGTGTGGCAATTAATGTCATGAAATCATCATGTGTACCCATCACAAGTGGGGTACCACAGGGCAGTGTATTGGGCCCGCTGTTGTTTGTTTGCTTCATAAATGACATGCCTGAAGCTTTACACTCCTCCATACAAATGTTTGCGGATGATGCCAAGTTATTTCTGGTAATTAAGAACCAAACAGACTGTGAAGAGCTGCAAAAGGATCTCTGTGAGCTTCAAAAATGGTCAAAGAAATGGCTGCTGAGATTCAATGTCACAAAGTGTAAGAGGCTGCACCTGGGAGGTACCAACGGTAAGGAGGAGTATCATACCGGGTATGTCCTAACGGGACGAAGAAACTGCATTAATTGAGACAATGCGAAAAAGACCTTGGCGTGTATGTTGACAATGAGTTGAAGTTCTCAGGCAATTGCGAGAAGGTGAATCAGGCAACTAAATTATTATTAGGTCTTATAAGAAGGTCGTTCAAATATCTAGACAGTCCGTCCCTCAAAACGATCTTCAAGAGTGAAGTGCTTCCCCGTCTGGAGTACTGTCACCCAGTCTGGTCCCCGAGAAATGCTTGGGACTGTCAGTTGATTGAAAATATCCAAAGGAGGGCCACCAGACTGCCCTGAGAGATTAGAGTGCCTGAAATTGCTTAGCTTACCCTATACTACAGCCAAGCAAGGGGGGCACTCAGTCGAGTGCCCTTACCTGGAGCTGGCGGACGCTCGCCCCACAAGGGGTCACAGCTCAAGGTTGAAGAAGCCGCAAGCCCAGAAAACTGTGAGGGGTAACGAGCCCTGACTTTCTAAAATACAAAACTGACAATAATTTGAAGACAGTCATCAGATTCTCTGATGATTGGAAATTAAAACAAACTGACTTCAGTGGCAAATGGAAACTCATTTCATCTTACAGGGTTGAAACCATCCACCTGTGAAATAGGCCCTCAACGTCAGGTTCCATCGCATAGGGAAGAAGGTTTGGGACAAGCTCCTGGACGACCCTCACAGCCCAGACCACCTACGCGGGGAAGACATCAACGGAGGGCAACCCTACACCTGGTGGCCACGGAGTCTGCCCGCACTACAACAACCCAACCCGCGACCCATCTTCAGTAGGTCTGCCACAGTGATCCACCTTAGATTAAAACTAAGGTGATATAAGATCACATTTAACAAGTCACAATCTAGTGAGTCCATAAAGTAATACAGTATAAGATTTTAAAAAACATGTAATTATAAAATCAAACTAGTCATTGTCTACCAAAGTAACCATTGTGCAACCTCATCCTAAATCCTAGGTTAGCTTAGTTAGCCAAAAATTCTGTAATATGTAAAATAAGGGGTGTCGTCCCCCTCTGTTTAACTCATTAAACTTCTTTTCCAACCTTTCCCCCCACGATTATCTGTTGTGACTTCTCTATCCTTCATGTCTGGCTGTTTCTTGAGCCCCAGCATGCCTTCCATCCTTTCCCCACCTTAACCTAAAAAAAAAAAAAAATATCATGGTAGGAATACGATTTTCGCCTCTATTGCAAATGCTAACACACAGACTTACTTGACAATTTTACTACACGTAAATACAGTTGAAGCCTTCAACATCACTCACAGTAGATCTTGAATGTTTCAGCTATAAGCAAGAATGTATATCTTACAGTAATACAGACGCATTCATTTATAATTTTTAATATACAAAATAAACATGGGATACTAGAAATCTTGAATGGATGTTACAGAAAACGGACGTCTCTGTAGAGTATTGAAGCGGACGAAAGAAAACGGACATCCCAGTAGGAGGACTCAAGAAATAAGTTAAAGCTACATGTTTTATGGGCTATTGAGCAACATATGAATCATCTGATTTTACATTAGTCACATGGTTGACTGTGGTCATTACAGACGTATCGAAAAAATTATCAGTTTTATTAGTAATATTTAAGTAAGTATTCAAAGTAAATATCTTATTGTAACATATTTCTATGCTATTTAATATTCATTTTGTGTATTGTCTGTAAAGGATTATATTGCTATTTATTGCTCGTTGTTAGTATAAAAAATAGTGGTTGGTCTGACTTAACGCATCCAAATGATTTACAGTTCATGAGAAAGAGGTGGAGCATCTCGTATCCTTCTAGTGAACTTCAGTAATCCAATCATCATCTTCCCTGAACTTGCAGTCCATTTAGAATCTAGGAAGCCTATAGCCAATGAGAATTATGCGCTGCCCCCATATGAAAATACGTTCCGCACTCATATAAAGATTCAGCAGAAGTGCAACAACAAAAATCAAACCACATATACAAAGCACTAATACGCCCCCTGTTTACTTTTTACTTTACTTTTATCCTTTTCAACACTGTTCGACTCGTTAGCCGCTTGGGCGATCGGTCACGTCTCTGTTAGCACTGTTGGCAAGTACTGGGCATGCACCGACTCCTGAATGTGCTTGAACCTGCTCCAGTGTTGGTCAAGTCTTGTCTTGAAAGAGCTCACACTCGCTGCCGTCACAACACTTTCTGGTAGATTGTTACAAGAGTTCACAATTCTCACTCCGAAAAAGTTTGCCCTCACAGTTTTCTGGACTTGCGGCTTCTTCAATCTTGAGCTGTGACCGCTTGTGGGGCGAGTGTCTGCCAGCTCCAAGTAAGGACACTCGACAGAGTAGTGCCCCTTGAGATGCTTATACACCTCAATTAGATCACCCCTTGCCCGTCTGTAGTATAAACTTGGCAAGTTCCGGGGGTTCCAATCTCTCAGGGTAGCTGAGGTGCCGAAGTGCAGGCACCAGTCTGGTGGCCCTCCTTTGAACATTTTCAACCAACTGACAGTTCCTAGTATATCTCGGGGACCAGACGGGGTGACAGTACTCCAGATGGGGAAGCACTTCACTCTTGAAGATCGTTACGAGGGACGGACCGTCTAGATATCTGGACGACCTTCTTATAAGACCCAATAATTTATTTGCCTGATTTACCTTCTTCTCGCAATGGCCCGAGAACTTCAGCTCATTGTCAACATACACACCTAGGTCCTTCTCACATTCAGTCTCAAATAATGCAGTTTCTTCATCCCGTTGGGACATATGATACGCCCACAGAAGTCCGTCTGCAGCTCTTCACAGTCCGTTTGGTTCTTTATTTCCCGAAA